CAGATTGTTTAAAAACAGCTTCACAATAATAAACAGGAAAATAACAGTTAGTGTCATCAGTGATGAAATGACCTCAATTTCAGCTATATTTAGTTTAAACAACAGCTTCAGTTTCAGCTGTAAAGCAGCTCTAGTCTCATTATTCTTCTCAATTTAGTTTAATGTTGATTCGTAGTGTTAAGGATGCAGTTCATTAATTATGAAACAGAGCTATAAGCAGCTCTACAATAAAACAATAGTGTCATTATTCAGCTCAGTTCAACAACAGTGTCAGTGTTGCAAACTTCATACATTTTGAAACGACTTCAATTTGTTATAAAGCAGCTGTACAGAAGACAATAGTGTCATTATTCAGTTCAGATTTGTGTGTTATTATCTGATAGTTTCAATATAGTAAGATTTATATTATTTTTTGAATATTAATTGTTTAAGGTCCAACTGACCATGCCAAAGATGACATGAATGCATACTACCTTGCATACTGCACGTATGCTTATTGCCCTTTTGAAATATTTACATCTACATCTATTTACATTTAGTAGACGCTTTTATTCAAAGTGACTTACAAATGAGGACAATAGAAGCAATCAAAACCAAAAAAAGAGCAGTAATATGTAAGTGCTGTGACAAGTCTTGCTTGGCTTAACACATATAATAAATAAATAAAAAACAAGTAGATAGAATAGAAAAAGAACAAAGAATGCTAGTGTTAGAGGCTATTTTTTTCTTTTCTTTTTTTAGAGGGTCAAATGAAGATGTAAGAGATGTGTTTTTAGCCGTTTCTTGAGAATAGCTAAGGACTTGATTGAGTTGGGCAGGTCATTTCACCAGAAGGGAACATTTAATGTAAAAGTCTGTGAAATTGATTTTGTGCCTCTTTGGGATGGCACAATAATGCGCCATTCTCTTGCAGAATGCAATCTTCTAGGGGGCAGATAAGTCTGACGTAGTGAATTTAGGTAAAGTGGTGCAGAGTCAGTGGTGGTTTTGTAGGCAAACATAAATGCCTTGAATTTTATGCGAGCAGCTATTGGTTTCCAGTGCAAATTGATGAACAGAGGTGTGACATGCATTCTTTTCAGCTTGTGAAATCTTGCAGCCGCAAATATAATATGTGACCCTGGACCACAAAACCAGTCTTAAGTCGCTGGGGTATATTTGTAGCAATAGCCAACAATACATTGTATGGGTCAAAATGATAGATTTTTCTTTTATGCCAAAAATCATTAGCATGGTAAGTAAAGATCATGTTCCATAAAGATATTTTGTAAATTTCCTACTGTAAATATATTAAAACCTAATTTTTGATTAGTAATATGCATTGCTAAGAACTTCATTTGGACAACTTTAAAGGTGATTTTCTCAATATTTTGATTTTCTTTGCACTCTCAGATTCCAGATTTTCAAATAGTTGTATCTCAGCCAAATATTGTCCTATCCTAACAAACCATACATCAATTGAAAGCTTACTTATTCAGCTTTATAATATGTGACCCTGGACCACAAAACCAGTCTTAAGGCGCTGGGGTATATTTGTAGAAATAGCAAACAATACATTGTATGGGTAAAAATGATAGATTTTTCTTTTATGCCAAAAATCATTAGCATGGTAAGTAAAGATCATGTTCCATAAAGATATTTTGTAAATTTCCTACTGTAAATATATTAAAACCTAATTTTTGATTAGTAATATGCATTGCTAAGAACTTCATTTGGACAACTTTAAAGGTGATTTTCTCAATATTTTGATTTTCTTTGCACTCTCAGATTCCAGATTTTCAAATAGTTGTATCTCAGCCAAATATTGTCCTATCCTAACAAACCATACATCAATTGAAAGCTTACTTATTCAGCTTTCAGAAAATGTATGAATCTCAATTTCGAAAAATGTACCCTTATGACTGGTTTTGTGGTCCAGGGTCACATATACATTTTCTATACAATTTGTTAGAATTTTTACTTTTCAGTAATTAATACTTGCATTTTTGCAACTTTTACAGTAAGATTAAATCTTGTTCATACTGTGTGTGTTTCTCAACAGATGATGACGACGATGAGGACGAAGGTGAAAGTGTTTCTGCAGTAACTCAAGACTCTCCGAAACCAGATGTTGCTGAACTCTCAGGGCAGGAATCTCACACACTCTCACACTCCCCCGATCATGACACACACTCTCACACACTCAGGTTTGCAGACACACACTCCGGCGCTGATGAGTCCCAGCACTCCAGCGTCGACTTGGCTGCTTCAGATAATGCTTCCTTCTCCCTCGCACAAACCTCATCGGATACCCGCACTTCCCAAGTCCCTCGAGTTTTTCAGGAAGACTTGTGCATGAAGGCTGATATGGATCCGGTATCCGATTGGGCCACACACTCTGTCCGTAACACGCTCACACACTTGCAGAACTCTCCACAGAGGGTTGGCAGGTCAGACTCTCTCGTATCCCATAATTCTCCCTTGTTTGCAGCACAGCGACTCGTTGCTCTGGGTAATGTCTCAGGGCTGGGTCTCTATGGCCGGTTGGGTGCTTTACGGACAGGTGGAGCCGGCAAGCGACACTTCATCTGCTCGATCTGCGGGAAGAGTTTCACCACGTCGCAGAGTTTGGACACACACATGCGCATTCACACTGGAGAACGACCGTACCGCTGTGAGCAGTGCGGGAAGCGTTTTACGCAGTCCGGACACCTCACGGCTCACCTGACTGTCCACACCGGAGAAAGACCATACGAATGCACCCGCTGTAGAAAACGATTCGCAGGGAAACAGTACCTCCGCATACACACCAAGAAACACCACCCTGACTTGCATGCACTTTCCCATATACAGACTCACACACTGCAGGACACATTACCCTGAAAGATGCACAGGCTCACAACAGAGAATGCAGGACACCATTTTTGATGTTTGTTTACTAGTTTTAATATATTTTATATATTCTGTTGTTGTTTGAAAGTGTGCTGCAACCACCAAGAAGAGTTTCAAATAAGACTTTCAATCAGTTCCAAGTGTATTTTTGCAGCGTTCAGGCACTTATTTTAACAGGTTATTTTGCAAAAACTAAAGCGGTGAAATGCATTATGTATACATACTGCAGGGAGACCATATGAAAGCCAACATTAGAAAGCTGGTGTGAGCACATTCAGACTCTGATACCTTCAACATGAAATACTCCGTTTCACCTGAATAGCAAATGTACATAAAATGTACAGGATAATGTGTTGTTTGAAGAGTTCGTTATGATCTAAATTAGATATAATTATAGATTATACATTTATATTTGCAGCTAGTCACAGCAGAAACACTTAACTGGATTTGTCTGTGTTGTATTTAATAGAAATAAACGGAATTTTGTCTTTATTTGTGACTTGTCACTTTTATTTTTTTAGGGTGTAGATGTTTTGAAAAGAAACAAATTATTCTGTGTAATATGATACTGATACTATTGTGATGCTACTGTGAGGGAGAATCCTAGATTCAACTTCAGTAATGAACAAAGAATTATTTCAAAAAATGACAATTTTATTGAAATAATTTTTATAAACAAAGGAGAAAAATAGATTCACTTGATTTCAAAACCTGGATTTATACAAAGGCAACGCTCCATGTAGAAAATGTTTTAAGGCCACTTTTCTGACTGGACTCTTCATAACATGAGTGTACAGCAGGGGTCTAAAACCCCCACATACAGCGTAGTCCACACTCACATGAGCAGCGTCTTTTGAATCTTTCTATCACTGAATCCTCAAAGCGGTTGAATGTGATTATTGTGAGGCACTTACTAAACTGCAAACTATTACTTTCTCATACAACTGAACCAAGGTCAGTACCTTTATGATTTTAAATTGTTACAATCAATGAATAGGTGTTTATAAACATGTAACTGGTGTACAGTATTTTAAATATACTTATACAATGTATTTTCTTAATAAAGTCACAGAAAACACCTAGAGCGACAATCAAATATTTACCAAAAATATTTAAGCATAAACTACAAGACAAACTAATGATCCTTTCAACTTAAAGATGTATTTCTAACATAAAATCATGTGAACAAAAATGGCCATATGGTATTTCAATGGAATAATTAATAAGCCTTACAAATTGTTACAATCAATGATTCTTCTAAATTCATTCTTCTACTTTTACTATTTGCTCAAGAGATTATTACTCTGAAAAGACATGCCCATAAAAGGAAAATCACAGAATTTATTGTTTAGAGAATAGAACCTCTTGACCCGACAGTGGAAAAGCACTGAATGTGTAAAAAGGTCTGTAATCTATTATGCTGGATCATTCAATTTCACCTGTGCCTTATAGTAAACCCAAAACCCAGCATAGAGAGGTGGAGTGAATGTGGTGTGGATTCTGTGAATGAGGGTCATTGTGTCAGACGCGTGCAAGAATGAACAACTGTAGCTAGAGCAGGCCAAACTCCAGGACCAATTATTAGACCCAAACTCACATTTTCGAGCCCGTCCCTTCCTGCTGATGGTCTTATATGACACTGATATATAGACAGAACCTTTCCTCTCAACCTCCCAATAACAACGTCCATTCAAACTCTCATTACACAATACCTGATACCAGTGATCAAATCTGTCTGGACGATCACGATATGATTGGTCTTTGTCCATGTTAGTAACCGCTCTGTTCCACTCTGACAGTTTGAGGTATTCATGAGCTGTGTTCCTACCCAAAGTGATCCGCTGGTAATCTAAAAACAAAACATATTTGAATCAGTAAATCTACAAATTGGCTTGTTGTTTTTCATGTTTTATGAATGAAATGTGATGGATGTTGTACATAAATGCAATGAAGAATAGCACAAGATATAAATATATGTAGCGTCTGCGTAGAATCATGCGTGATCTTTGGGGTTTTATGGCTTAAGAGACCCTTTTAGCATTGACATTTGCATATAAATTACAGTCCTGGTCACAGACTTTACGTTTATATGGGGGCTAAATTGCCAAATGGGTCCTCGCTATCAAGGAGATTCTAACCAGTCCCCCACTATCATCTCCCCATCTGATTTCAAACACTTTCCAAAGAGATGTAAATGACCCCGATGCCAGGCACCGATGGGCCTGGCTGACCAACTAACACACACACACGTAAAGACCTTTTTACTCTATTATACTCTACAAATATATCTGGTATATTGCATGTGTTGTTTGTACGTTTCCCTATTAGATTAGTTGAGTTACCACTCGTTATTTGTATTAGTTAAAGCCCTAAACACTGATATTCAGGTGTATGGATGTATCTTTGGTTTAAGTTATTCTAAATGTTTGTTTCTTGGTATCAATATTATCTGCTCTTTATTTCTCAAACAATGATGTACAGTATGTGATTGTGAAATGCATCATATGATTTGTACTATATTTTGGGTTAAAACCGCAGCAATTCCAGACCGGCCATAAAACATGCAAATGGGCCATAAAGGGAAGCAAAGGAAACTTCTCACGCTCAAAAAGTCACACCTGGTATTGGCCAGTCCACCCAGAATAGAAACCCTCAAAAGTGATTAGCCCAAAATGATTTTTGCTCTGAAACCCTTTTTTTTTTGAGACGACACTTTCCAAGACTCTCAAGTCTTTTCCTCTTGAGTTTGTTTTCCGGCAGTTTTTATCTTCAAGTAACTTCGATTCGCTGTGGACTTCTCCTGTCTTTAGAATAACCAGAAGTAAACTTCCAGCACACTCCTAACGAAATTATCAAAGACCTCCGTTGTCTACCGCATCAGGACTCTTGTTCAGCAATCGAAGCCAATGCAAGTAATCATTTACAATTATTTAGATGCGTGTTTAAGTTTCAGCCCCTTTTAAGGTGATTTTTGATTCTCTGATGTTTCTCAAAGGTTGTGTTTAAAATTGATGTGAAATACTGCCATCCTTTTACTTTCCTCTCTCTTTTCCTTACTTTGTTTCATTCTGTATGTGTTTTGCTTAGTTAGTTATATGTTCGATATAGTTTCATTTATTAAATCCCTTATATTCACGATCGATTGCCTCTGTTTGCTGCTCACAATTCAAAGTCAATTAATGTTTTGAACCCTTGCTACAATATGCTAAATTACTGCTAGCACTGCATAAAGAAGGACAGTTATTCTTCCTTGGCCAGGAAAATAATCTTTTCTTGAATTGATGAATGATTATATTGTCTGCTCGATGGACAGACAGATCAAATAATTGTAATATTGATTCTGCTACAGTTAATTCGAAGATATAATCTAAATATTTATTATTAATCATAACCAGTTATAATTAGTCATAAATATTTCTCTGTTGAGCTGATTTACTACATATAATAAAATTATTTGTTATAACTTCATGAGTGTTACTGGATTAGTCTAAATGTTTAATGCAATTTAATAGACTGGATTGTCTGTAAAGTTTTGGCTATTTTGGCTATTCTGTTTAAATGCTTAATTCTTAACAAGTCTATGTATAATTTATTTTCCCCACAATATTGCCAGTTATGGAGTGGCCTAGCCAGTCTCCAGATCTCAACCCCATAGAAAATCTTTGGAGGGAGTTGAAAATCCGTGTTGCCCAGTGACAGCCCCAAAACATTACTGCTCTTGAGGAATGGGCCAAAATACCAGCAACTGTGTGTGAAAACCTTGTGAAGACTTACAGAAAATGTTTGACCTCTGTCATTGCCAACAAAGTGTATATAACAAAGTATTGAGATGAAATTTTGTTATTGACCAAATACTTATTTTCCACCATAATTTGCAAATAAATTCTTTAAAAATCCTACAATGTGATTTTCTGGATTTTTTTTTCTCATTTTGTCTCTCATAGTTGAGGTATACCTATGATGAAAATTACAGGCCTCTCTCATCTTTTTAAGTGGGAGAATTTGCACAATTGATGGCTGACTAAATACTTTTTTCCCCCACTGTATTTGTGCTCCATAAATGAACAGTAACTATGAACAGAGAATTACATTAAAATGCATTAGTTCTAAACACAGCAACACAATATAATGTTGTAATATCCCCACCAACTCTCTCTGGAATGCATAAACAAAGAAGCAGAGGCTATATTAGCACTCTTGAAATGCTGCTAAGACAGTTTTGTTTGAGGGACCGGAATAAACTGCTGTGTAATAGAAAGTAAAGGTGATTTTCACACTTTTTACTGTTATTCATTCTATTGATTGGGACTGGTATTAACAGTGTAAATGAACAAATAAGACATGTATTCAATATAGTGTATTCAATAAAACAAACTGAATCAACAGTATGATTTATCAGTATTCATTAATGGACTCTCTCTATGAACTCTTTCAAAATAACTTCCATTGTAGAAACTCATTCCTGCTCTCATATTCAGGAGTGGGAATCATCTCTATATATCGCACTATGAAAGCTCAACATACAAATTCAATCTAAAAATATTTCATTTTCATTCACCTGTATTTTAAAGCAATGTTATTGTTCACATTGTATTATAATTATTACATTGACTTCTTTTAAAGATTAAATTAATGTCTCAGTACTTTACCTCTCCTAAATATTTTTTCTTCCTCTTCTTTAAAAACATGCTGCAGTTTCTCTTCCAATTGATTGAAAAAAACGAACAAATCATAAAAAGCGAGACAAGAACTGACAGCGATGCTAGATGATTTCTCAGATGCAGGAGGGACATTGTAAGACTGGAAACACTACACAGACACAAAAACAAATAATGGGAAAAACAGAAAATCAGATACCAGAAAATATTTAATGAGATTCCTGAAAATGTTGCAGTGTTTTAAATACCTTACTAACACTAATGCTCCATTTTTCAGATCTGTTACCTGGAGGAAGTGGATGTGACCAGTGTGTGAAAACTAGCTCAGCATCTCTCCTCTTCAGATCTTCAATCTCCTGCCTCAGTCGCTCCAAGAGTCCTTCAGCTTGACTTACAAGAACCTTCTCCTGATCTCTGATCAGCTGTGTCACCTCAGAGCGGCTTCTCTCAATGGAGCGGATCAGCTCAGTAAAGATCCTCTCACTGTCCTCCACTGCTGTCTGTGCAGAGCGCTGTTAGGACACACAGAGAGAGAAGCATCAAAATAAGTCCATTCACTCAGCTCTTACTGCTGCCTCACACAGCCTGTTCTCCACAGTGGGCTTCAGTGGGACTGAAAGAGCTCCAGCACTGGCTCCTCGCTGACTGACTGGAGGAGAGTCCTAACTGAGTCTGAAACAGCTCTTCAGCAGCCAGCAGTTGTTCTTCTGCTCAAAACTCACCTTGTGAAACTCTACAGTCTTTCTCAGTCTCTTTCTCATGTACTCTAAAAAATATTGTTTGGACGCAACAAAAAAAATTTACGCAACAGTTTGTAAGGTCCGCACACCTGGTCCAAGGAATATGTGGAGATACTCTGTACTACGGGCATTCTGGCTACAGAATCGAACATCCAGAATAAGAAAAACATCCTCCAAATGGAGGCCTGTAAAAACAATTGGAATTTGCATTAAGCCAGGTCCCAGACCTGGGTGGTCTACACCTCAAATGGGAACAAAAGGTAATTTGCATGGGATTGCTCTCTACGGTGATCAAAGTTTCTCTTAACTCTTAGGATCTGTATTATCTTTTAGTAAGATTAAGACCATTGTACCACTTGCCCTGAAACTATTCAAATGAAACCAAACATGACTGTAAATCTTATTTGCATTCATTTAGAACATTATATTCTTGACCAGTTTGAGTGAATCCAGTGGAGGGAGGAGATGAAAAGGCACAGATGCATATGTGAGAGAGGCGTTTCCCGCACCACCCCTCTGTGGGGTGTCCTGAAGATGCCAGTGCATTGTTTGCCTCTCAGGAGATCAAAGTATTCTAGTTTCTTTTATCCTTACAGTTTGCATCATTTTTTTTGAGTTAAGGCAACTTCTTCTGAAATTAAGTTCAACTAAAACTATATTGCGCTATATATACTTAGAAAATTGTGTTAAAACTAACAATTATTAAGTTGAATACTCATAAAAATTAAGTTGTTCTAACGAAAAATTAAGTTGTTCTAATGAAGTTGTTCCAAGTTGTTTTTTCACATTGTTTTACATTTGATTCAATCATGGACACTGGTTACGATAACTACAAAAATATTATTTTTTGATGAAACAATTCTTAAAGGGGTCATATGATGCTTTTTTAAAGATCATTATTTTGTGTATTTGGTGTAACAGAATATGTTGACATGCTTTAATGTTCAAAAAACACATTATTTTTCAAATACTGTACATTATTGTAGGTCCTCTATGCCCCGCCTCTCTCAAACGCTTCGTTTTCTACAAAGTCCCTCCTTCCGACAAGCGCAGTCTGCTCTGATTGGCCAGCTGACCCAGTGCATTGTGATTGGCCGAACACCGCAAGCACTCAT